AACAGTTAAAGAAAATATTGGTAAGGATATTTAGAAGTCAGCTGGCCATGCCATCTATCTCCAAAGGAAAATTAACCTTGATGGTTTAACCTGGGTGAAGATTGTGTGGTGGATATAACATTTATAACTGCAACATCTATTTCAGATTAACTTTTGCTTTTTACTAAAATATTGAGCATGTACCTGCAGCCTTCCTTTTGAAGAGGTAGACTCCAGTCCTCTCTCATGCCTGGATATCTTCCTTTCCCTGGGTACCTGGTTCTTAAGGCCATCCATGTGTATTGTTTCAGCATCATTAAACCATTAGCAAGCAGGTGTCAGCTTGGTAGCAGTCTCTGGATATCAGTTTGTGAAGAATAGAGGGTTGATGTGGAAGGGCTTTCTGCAAATGATGGATTACTGAAACTAGTGGGTGCTACTTTCTAATGGTATTTTTTAGATTTTTAGGTGTTGTTAAAAGCACAACAGACATTTCTGCAGCAACAGAAATTGTGTCATTTTCTTCACACTATATTGTGGTCATATTTTTCAGAATTTGCTCTTTTCTCATGACTCTTTGGAATGTACACTGGGAAGCCAGAAACTCTCAGACTTACCTGAACCATATACGTTTCAGATGCTTTATAAATATATCTGTAGTTTTTTTCTTTTTTTTTCCAAAACACATATTGGAAAAATTCAAGTATCTGGGCAGCCTTGTGAACCACTGTAGTCCCTGTGAGCTAGAGAATATTTCCTTAGTGTCATAAACCTATATCTTTCTGTGACCGTTTTCCAAATACAGGCATACATTCAACTGATATAGGTGTGGATGTGAAGTTGAAATACCTCCAGGACAACTGACTTCTAATGGAATACTGGATTCTGTGTAAACACTTGGGAAAACAAACTCAACCTTATTTGACTAATTTTCATGACTGGATACATATAACACAAGAGAAAGCTTTAATCTGGCAGTATGGTATTGTTGTTGCTAGCAACAGAATAAGTTCCTGTCCTTCAGACCCAGCACAGGCTAGCTTTTTCCCTGTCATCTTGAGTCCCAAAAGCTGCTAGAAGATGCCATCACACAAAATGCCAAGAAATAGTACAGGTTATTGTGGGAAGACTGGAGGGTTACTTTGCAGTCATGTTCTCTTTCAAGAGACATACCATATGTTTAAGGTGGGGGTCTTTTTTTTTTATGTCTGCATACTCATAGTGATCTTAGCTGCTGGTTTAGAAACTGGCTGAGTCGGGGAGTTGTAGACGCCTCGGTGTTCCCATTGGTGCTATTCATTTTTTTGCTCTGTGCAGTAATACAATGTCTTCAGTTGTTTCTTTACCTGAATTATCAAGATAAAGCATTTTCGTGCTCCTATCAGGCTTACAGCCTCCTGGGGCCCATGGGCTCAGGCTCTATAGGACGCACAGCTGTAGCTGATATGAGACAGATTTGCAGAGCTGGTGTAAGGCAACACTGCAGAAGTGGTAAGTGGCCCCTCTTTAACTCCACCGCATTGCACTTCGATTACTCAAGATGTTTCTCTGCCTCACTGCCTGCAATAGCGTTTGGTGTGGTACAATAGGAACAGCAGAGGCTCAAAAAGCTGTGTGGATCTAAGGGGCCAGCTGGTTCTGCACTCCCTCACTCGGCTTTATCAGTAGAAATTCCTTCCTTGCTGATCGAATGACCAAGGGAAAATTCTCTCTTTTTAAAACAGTTCACATTTCTTTGGATTCAGTTTCAAATTGGCATTCTTAAGCTTATCACAGACCATTTATAAATGCACCAGTTCCTGACTGAAAGATTTAGCGTGTACCAGATTTGTTATCCATCTCGGACAAACAGTCTGAAAGAGGCACATGCCATACAGTACATTCTCCATAAGCCATTTAAAGGTAGCAAGAGTGCTGCATAATCTAGAAAACATTATTTAAAATTGACAGAATCTTTACCCTATCATAAAACCAGCTGCCTTCTGAGCTTTTGGATTTTCTTCTGTGTTCCTTGACCCACTTAAGATCAGTGTAGAAATCCAGCTAACCTTTCTGTAACATCAAAAGTATCCAAGCACTAGTTAAAACTCTCTCTGATCCAGTGTGGCTCAGACACAAAAGCTGCAATTGGTCGCAGCTTCCTAAACAGAATGAGAATCAACTGACAGGTGGCAATTGCTTGGTTCACTCTTTAAATCTCGTTCTCTCCCACATTTATGCAGGACCATGAGCTCAGTAGTTGTTCAGGCTTGTCCTTGGCTTCTCTTTCTCTCTGTGCTTCAGTGATATGTTTCTGTTCTCTCCCTCTGACCTTTTTTATTCTTTCTACTACAGTGATGCACAATATGTGTCTTGTCTGAAACAGTGGTATTGTCTGTGTGACTTGGATGAAGGCTGCTTTCGCTGTAGCTTTCTAGCATCACAGAAAATCTTAATTACTTCCCATGTTTTCCTTGATGAAAGCCGACTGCTGTAACTGACAAAGTTTGCCAGCCTGGTCCCACTTGGTGATAGTAGAGGCTATATGTAACAAGGGATAAAAATATCTTGAAGTAACGTCTTAATCTTGTACCACTACCATAACAGTAATACTTCTCTTTCTACAGCAGCTTGTGGCAGAAATGTATGAATAATAAAATCAGGGTTTTTTGCCAAAATTTCATTAAATCATCTCTGAAAGGGAAAATTATTGAGCTGTGTGCTTGGATATCTTTATATTGGTTTTGCAATGTTCCACATCACGGCCAGCAGAAATTAAAAACCTTCAGTCAAAACATACTGTACACAGAAAAAATTTCAGAGTTGATTGTACTGTTGCTAGTCACAGCGATACAATGCAATGGCATTACTGTGTGATGCTACCAAACCTGTTTGTGACCTTGAAACCAACAGAGTTTTTGTTTGGCTTCCACTCCTTCAGTTCATCAAAAGCATAAAATAGTGAAGGTGAGTTGTTGTATGTTGCACTGAACTGGCAGCTGCCCAAGGACAATCTGCTCCCTGTCTGCTGCTGGTAGTTTTTGGGTGTGTGCAGCTGCTTCACTTTCAGTGCTCTCTGTGTGTGAATCTGAGCAGCAAGAAAAACTGGAAGAAATTGCTTGGCCCTTTGCCACCTCCTCACCTTGAAGAGCAGCTGGTGTCTGTAGCAAGTTGTAACCACTGTTAGTGAAAATCCTGCCATGTTTTGTTTGCAGGAGGCAAATGACTGACATTTTCCTTTGACAGATGTTGTGTTTTAACCCCAGCTGTCATCTCAGCCTCACACAGCCACTCGCTCACTCCTTCTTGGTGAGACGGGGGAGAGAATGGAGCGCGTAAAAACAAGAAAACTCATGGGTTGAGATGAAGATAGTTTAATAATTAAAAAACTAATTAAAGCAAAAGCTATGGATGCAAGTAAAGTAAAGCAAGGAATTCCTTCACCACTTCCCATGAGCTAGCAGGTGTTCAGCCATCTCTGTGAAAGCAGAACTCCATCACACATAATGGCTACTTGGGAGCACAAATGCCATCACTCTGAATGTCCATCCCTTCCTTGTTCTCCCCTCCATCTCTGTGTGCTGAGCATGATGCACTATGGTATGGAATATCCTGTGGGTGAGCTGGGATCAGCTGTCTCAGTTCTGTCCCCTCCCACTTCATGCACATTTCAGTCTCCTTGTTGGTGAGTTGGTGTGAGAGGCAGAAAAGGCCCTGACACAGTAAGCACTGCCCAGCAGTGATGAAAGCATCTCTGTTTTATCAACGCTGTTTCCAGTACAAATGAAAAACATAGCCCACACCAACTACTGCGAAGGAAATTAACTCTATCTCAGCCAAAACCAGCACAACAGGACAACTGACTTTGTCACCACATTTGTCTGGGCTTGTCACAGCTATTTGAGTGTCTAGAGAGAGGCACAAAACAGTACCAGCCTTGGATGAAGTGTGGAAGTGGAGGAAAGTGTTTCCATCTGGGACTGGATAAATTGTTCTGGAGTCCTCTGTACCAAGGCCCAGAGGCAAGCACATAGCCTGTACCAAAACTACTGTACCTTACAGTCATCTCCTCTTCCCTTTGAATAGCATTGCAGAATGAAGGTAAGCAAAGTGCTTTTCCACGCTCCTGTCTTCTGATCCAACTGCAGAGTTTCCTGACAGCTGTGCATGAAATCTCTCTGGGCTACCTGCTATGGGGTGGTCTGTGATCCTGCTCCCAGGACACCTGGACAGACAATGGCTCTAGCTGGTTGTGGTCTCTGCTCAGGAGACCAGGGAGAAGGCAAGGAGATGCTCACATTTGCTGCTTGTCCAGTGTCAGGACACAGCACATGGAAACCTGGGAACTCCAAAACTCCCCAGCTTCCAGCTTGGGAGAGACAGAGTAGCCTTCTCCAGCATCACAAGGGCGGAGGGACTTGGGACTGAGAATTCTTTCTTCACTGTCTGTAGTCCTGCAATAGACTCAGTTGCAGCAGTGGGACTCTTCTGACCCCTCTGGGTGCATTTCCCATTTTTTCGGTGTTTTCTCAGAGGAGTTAATAGGTTTCTTCCCCCTCAGAAGTCACTGAAGCTATTATGTACAGCACAGCTGAGCTATGTAACAGCTGTTCTTCTATAACCCATAAAGTTGCATAATTTCATTAGAATGAGACTGAGATTTCATGTAGATTTTTAAATTTTAAATTTTTCTATAAGAAAAGAAGCAGTAAGTAAAGCATGTCTTGTTTGCAGTATTGGCTGCCACAATTTTATTTTTTTTTAAAGATTTAGAAATAAGACAAAAGTAACCAAGACAACCCTTACCCTAAGCTACAGAATCCCTACAAATAACATTGAAAAAGAAGTTGATAATATTGATCCCTTGTGTACTAGTAGTTAAACTTCAAAAATCAATTGAGAGGAAAGCTTAACTGGCCTTTCTGTAGTATCAGAAAGCAAACCCAAATCCCAGACATAGAATTTTTACAGCTATGAATATAGGAGATGATTTTCAGACAATGTCAAAACTACCATTTAATTCCCTTTCCTTCAGGAGAAAGCTTCTATGAGGTGCACTTGGAAAGGAATCCCTGAGTATACTAGACATACTTCTGTGCAAACCAAGAAGTAGCTTTGCAGAGTGGCGTGCATAAGGAGTGAGTCCAGAGTGATCAGCAAGGACACCAGTTGTGCCATCACTTCTGCTTTGAATGACTTTAAACCTTTGTCCTGTTTGTTCAGGCAAATTCAGCTCTCAAGCTATTCTTGCTAAGCAACTACACCAACATTGCTCTGGCAGTGGTCTCCTGAGTGTTTGTAGAAAAAAATATTAGGTCTTAGTAAGGTAGCTAGGTGAGAAATCCACATTGGTAAACATCTTTGAAGATCTGAGTGCCTGATCTTTTTCACAAAGTAAGACTTTGAAGCCCTACTGCGCTTTCCACCCATGATTGTATTTCCTCCTTATTTTCTTTCAGCCATTCGATGTTGCTCTTCACTTGCTCCAGTGTCTGACTCCTGGGCATTTCTCCTGCCCCAGCATTAGGATATTTTTCAAAGAAATTTTCCACCTGGAAAAGAGAAAAGAATTGATGTGAAGTAAATAATGCTGCTGTTGGGCAAGCAGCTTTTTACAAAGACACAGTCAGGGGTAATTCTGACTGGGAGAGATCTATAAGCTCATGCTAGTAGCATTGGAATAGTTTTACAGTTTACTCCTGCTGCTTTAAGCATTTAGAGGACAAAAAAATAAATTTCCTGTCCAGAAGTTAGTGAAATATATTGACTTAAATTCAAGAGAATTGATGTCATCATACCTGCCAAAGCTGGAGCTCAGTGTTGAAGGTTTGGGCAATAGTTACTATTCGACCAAGATATCTGTCATTTATAGTGAATCTAGAAAAACAATTTAATAAAAGATGTTTGATGCAAAACCATAATTATCTGAAGCGTAAACTTCTAATTGTATTACAATAAAGCAGGTACACTCAAACTTCAGCATTTTTTTGAAATAGTTGAAAAATAGCACTCCTACATAATATCTGAGCTGTTCTTAAATATGTTTACTAATGGAGTAATCTCTTATGGTGGAATAATTTTTTTTAAAGTAACTACTGCTTGTCTCAGGCTGGAAGTTAGGAATATTGCTGCTCAGCAATACAAAACTGTCCAGATCACAGCTCTAGGCTTACAGGCGTGCTTTCCTTCTGTGCCCTCACCAAGCACTTAGGAGATGGAAAGAGAGATGTCACTCCAATATTGAGGAGAAAAGTGAAAAGGTTTGTGATTACTTCCACTGCTCATCTGTATGTCTGCTTCTTGCTGTTACCATTAGAATTTTATACCCCCCATTTTATACTCTGTCTTCTTGGTATGAAATCAGTCGCAAGAGTGGAGATTGATTCACTAATTTCCATGCAATAAGCAGATTTCTGTGGCCTTGGTAAAACTTTCTCTCCTTGATGACCATTTACTGATACTGATCATTTAGGGAAAGAATGGTTTTCAAGTTAGTGACAAAATAATTTCTCCACAGCAAATGGATATAATTGTGTTGAATAAGCTTTCAGTTTTCATTTTGCAAAGGTCAGTGATTATAACTGTACAATGAAAACACAGAAAAACATGGCATGTAACAAGATTTACAGGTGGATGTAGTTTCCCATGAGTTCAATAGAGTACCTGTCAACTAAGTACTGCCAGTTCAGTCGTACCCAGTCCCAGGCCATTGTTTTCCCATAGGTGTTATATGAGATGTATCTCAGGACCGTGAACACATCTTGGCTTTTGATGAGGCTGGTGTTGTAAATATATTTCAGATATCTACGGGAAATGCCATAGGAATCAATGAGAACCATTTCCAAACAGGAATATTATTTTTTTTCCTACAGCATTTCAAAGATAAAGTACACGGATCTAAAATGTAAGTTGTGTCAAGAGATAATTGTATTGAAAGAAATCTTAGTTAAGAATCTTTAGCAAAGTAGGTAGAGTTTATGTCTCTATTTGAAAATAGCCAAACCCCATTATTATTCCTATGTTTTAATGCAGTAGAGAAAACAAGACTGGATCAGTTAGTACTTCAGCCTGTTAAGCCAAGCACCAAAAAAAGTAGTGCAGACTTTAAAGATTTTAAAGATTTTAAAGATTTTAGAGAAAAGACTTTAAAGATTTTATAGGGACCATTAATACATGCACAGGTGGCTTGCTCACATTGACATCTCTGCTGTTTGTTTGGAAATTTTTTTCCATACAAAATTAAAATTCATTTGGGCAGAGCATGCCTGCAAGTGCTGCAGCTATACTTTGAGTTATGGCACAGATGGTTTTGACTGACGGGGTGAAGCACACATGTTTGCAGGGAGATGAGTAGCATGGTCATGGATTCGCAGCAGCAGCTGCAGAAGAACACCCTTTGAAGCTGTTCTGTGTTGGGATTAAGGACTGTCTTCTTCTTCCCTATATGTAATGGACATTTTGTTCAATCTGTTTGCTCTTCCCTCCTTGTTTGCTATTTTAATAGTAAATTGAGAGACAAGCTTTCCCTGTTTTAGGGGGGATTTTTTGTTTTCTGCAAATATAGTCTGATCTAGCTAATTAATTCATGTCTTAATCATGTCAGCCATTAGCTATTTAATGGCTTTAGATTAAGGCTGTTGCGGTCACAAGAATTTAGGAATGCAGCTGCTTCCTACCGTTATTTCAATTACTCTAAATCTTTTATTTACTCTTTCTGAATCTTTTTGAATCTCCTATACTTCTGTGTTTCACCTCATTTAAACTTGGGACTCTTTCAAGCAGAGGCTGCTCCATGTTATGGTATTTAGGTAGGGCTCTGATACAGTGGTGAATGGCCCTGGTGTAGATGTTTGCTTGCATGAGTACTATGCTACATGATGCAGCAACATGCAAAGTTATCAGATGCAAAGTTATCAGATAAGCCTAAAGTAGCCCATGTGTCTATGCAGGGCGACAGCCTGGTGAGATTCTTGCCAAGTCAGACAGTCTGCTGGATGATTCTGGGGCAGTATCCAGACTCCTCATTATTGCCATGGCAGCATGAATTCAACATTTTTGGTTCTAGCTTGAGCGCTTTTGCGCAGCACCTCAGGGTGCATTGCAAGTTCAGGTGGATGCCTTCATAGCACTGTTAATAACAATTGCTCAAGGCTGTTTGCCTAATTTTAGCTAGTTAGAAAGTAGACATCTAGGCTAAGCAAACTGGAGCTAATGGAGGGTGACTGACAACACCCAAAAGCAATTTTTTCCATTGATTTTAAGCTCCTTTCCTGGTCTGGGATAAGCAGTGCTTTGTAGGTCTGGCCTCTCTTCACTGTTTAAAGAAGAAATGGATGACTAATTTACTCCCTTGAATTAACTATTAAGCAACTAAAGTTGCATAGGGTGCACACACTGTTGGAAGAGCTGAAGGTTGTTGATTGTGTGCAGCAAGTACCATGTCTTCAATATCTTTCTACTAAAAGAACAAGGCTTTTTCCCTGCCATAGTACAATCTCAGAGGGGCATGTTAGATAACTGGTCTTGAAAATGTATTGCATTCCTCATGCTGTAATCTGACCAAAATGACAGCACAGAAGAGAGGAAGAGGGGAAAGAGCAAACAGCGAACAGTTGCTTCTGTAAGAAAAGAGAAATCTGTGTGCGTTTAAATCACCTGTCCAAAAGGGTGATGTTCGTCACTGATGCCAGGCCATATAGCAACTTTTCTTTTTCTTGGGCTAATGAAGTTTCTTGGTATTTGTCGAACATGTAATTCCATGATGTCTCATTGCCTGAGTTCTGCATCCCATAGCGATATACTATAAGTCGGAGATTTGCAGGAATACTAAAATAAAGAAACAGTACTTAAATATTCCTCCCCCTTTCCTACTTGAGTTCAGTGGTACCCATTCACATGTTGTGTTCTTCACAAACCACAAAAGATGTGAGCACTCACGTTTCTCCTTGTAACCACCTATTGAAAAGCCGAGAAGCATTGTTCAAAGATTCTGAGTCATTCATACTGCAGGCAAAGTCTAGAACAGATGCACGAAGAAGCCTTGGAAAGAGAGAGAGAGAGAGTGAGAGAGTTATTTTCCTACTGCTAACTAATGCATCAATAGCATAAGAAGGAAAAAATAAAGATTGTCCCACCTCTGCAAATGGTCTCCAGAATCGTCCCAGCCCAATTCTTCCACAGTTGGTTTTACCAGATTACGAAAATATTGCTGAAGTAGAAAAAAAGTGTTGGTTACATGTGTAGATTTCTTTAAATTATAATATATTTAATTTCATAGTTTGTTCTCCTTCATTTTTTTTCAGAACTAGCATCTCTTGAATAAAATGTAACATGAACAGGCACACACACAATCTTTCCAGATCCCCACAGCATGCCAAGTCTGAATGCTTGCAATACTGATGTGCAGACAGGACAAAGCCAACCTACTGCTCTCTTAGCCTTGTCTGTGTTCCCAGATGAAGGCTGGGGTACAGCAAGGACACACTGCCACAACTGCTTTCCAGAGATGATAGTTCAGGACATACCTACTTTAGTGATCACTAAATCATGTTCAGTATTTTGGGTTAACCAACAAACCCTCTCACTGCCACATAGAGATATAGCCATCCTTTGTGCTGAGGACAGGTGTTTGATATTTTTCTGCCCTATACATACTTCTTTATTGAATGCAGGACAGCCTTGACTAATAAATACCTGTAACATGCCTTATGGTGACAGATTATAAGAATAATTAGGCATAATGTCTTTTCTCCAAGTGCATGGTCCTGAATGCAGAATCCAGGTAATTCAGATACCACTATGAAGCAGTGTTTAGAGGGTTTTTTTAAGAGAACAATAATGAAAAGTAAATGTAATAGTTCAGCAACACTGAAAATCACTTGAACTTCAGTATTATTCTTGTGAGAGATTCTGAATTATCAGATTCAGTGGTCCCAAGCTGGGTTGGCTTTTATTTTGCTTCATCACCTGAAACAGGGGATAGAGAGTTTTATCATCTTCGAGCATGTTTGCAAGATAAGTTACAGCTGATATAGCTCTATTCCAAGGCAAATAATCTGTTTCCTTTCCTAGGTATTTTGTGAGTTCCAGGGGAACAGCGTAATTCACAAGTCCAGGTCTGTGGAAGGAGAAAACATAACTTCTGTTACTTTAATGAATTTGAAGATCTTGCTTCTTCAAAGATATTAGATTTACTATTTACTTTAGAAGGCCTAAAATAGTAAAGTTTGTGAGGGAGAAAGTTGTCTGGAAGGTAACTTGGAAGGTGTTTTCCAAAGAGATAACCAAGGATCACTGTTAATTAATGCCTAACTGTAGGAGTTGTGCCATTGTGAGAAGACTGCTAGCGTTGTGGCAGCCCAGTGTGCCTAGAAGTGGGCAGCCTTTACCTGACTGACATTAATATAACAAAAAAAGAAAGGAATTGCTGGTTGGTGACATCCTGAAAGGCTGAGGAGACTAAGACTTAGAGCCTGTTACAGATTGCTTAAAATTTTTCTGTGTCAGCATGGTTGGGTTCAAGATCTAGAAGTTTCCAATCAAGTTTCTAAGTAAACTACTAGCTGAGGTAGTAGCTACTCAATGCCTTGTATGCACTGTAGACACGTCTCTGCTTTTCTGGATACCTAACCTCTTCTGGAGTGCTTCCATTATTGTTAATTATATGGAGAAAACTTCCCTTTCTAAGACCTGTGCAACTGAAGCCTGCTTTTTTCTTGCCATGGTACTGAAAGGGAGCATTCCTCGTGATTGCAACGTTAATGCAAGTTGTAATTCATACTTAAATGCACCCCCTTGCACCCACAAGATAAAGCAACAAAGAATTAAAGCTCATACCAAAGTCAGAACATTTCTTTCAACCACCTGGGTTGCCTGAATCCTAATTATTAGGCAACAGAAAGTGAAACATTTGTGTTGAAATCTCTGCAGAGAATTAGTTTACCTCGCTAAAGAAAAAGCGTCATCCAAAATCCCTGCGCGATCAGCAGGTGAAAACATCTGTATGAAAAGAGGAAAAGAGGGATCAAGAATATACAGACTATTTGCAGAAAAACCTCAGCCTTACAGACCTCTTATAAGAGACCCACCAGACAAGTTAGACATTACAACACTCACTATGTGGTTTTGGAGCAGAAGATTGCTTAAGCTGGCCCAGTTTTGACTATCATAATTCACTCGGAAGAATCCAATGTGGTCTGGATTAACATTCACAAAAGTATCAGTAGAAGATGGTATTTGAATTCCTACAAAATAAACAGGAATCAGTTTGTGCCCCTTATATGATGCAGATCTCACTGGAGATTCCTTGACTCCAAACATTTTATTTGGTTTTAATGGATATCAAAATAAGGTCCAACCCTTAATTTAATTTATTTCTTTATTTACTTCTAAATAGCTCTTAGTAAAGATGAGTTATTACAGATTTTGATGAATGCCAGCACTTGTCTTACACAAATGAACTGCAGTAATTATTTGGGGTAGCTACTTTGTTAAATTTGAAATGGAGGTCATTCTGAGTAGGATGAGCATGGTGATTTAGTGTCGTTGTAAGTAAAAAATTGCAAAGAAGCAGTTCTTTCAAATATATGTTTTTAAACATTTTTCATCCTTGTGTGCACTATTAAAGTTTTCATATTTTATCCTTCATTAGTTTCATTTTCCAGTTTGTTTCAACTAAATTTAACTTTTCTTTCCTTACTCTTCTTTGATTCTATTTTTGTAACTGTTGATAAAAGATTTACAAAATAGGCTGAGACTTCATGCAAGCACCCATGTTTAGGGATTTTCCCATTTAAAATGAATACTTGAAAATTTTTCTTTCTCAGAAGCTTGGCCTGATCCAGTTGATGATGCTACTTATGAAATTTTTTCTATTTCATATTGAAAACAATGGTCTTGAATCTCTGTTTTGAGGGTGTCTGTAGTTAAAAGCATGTTTCTGTTTCGATGTTACATACAAAGTATTTCTAAAGAGATTTTTCCCTACAGTTGCTGTTTGCCCTGCAAGACAGAAATGTTGTGAATGTAGAAGTAAGCACCTAATCAAGACTTTGCATGATTTGTGAAGTTAATAGCCCCTTGCAGCCCTCAGATCATGTGGAAATCAGAGAAAGAAAATTTCTTTGTGTTAACTTCTGACTTGTATCATAATGTAAGATATTTTTTGTTTGTTTTTGCGTGGATACTAAAAGCAACCATTTAAAAAAAATCCACCCCAGAACAAAAGACAAATTGCATTTTAAGAAAGTAACAAACAAGTACAAGAAAAGATAAGCCAATTGTCATATTTTTGACATTCAATGGGATGTAATTTAAAATCTGAAAAAATCTGAAAAAAGTAATTTTTCCCCACAATTTTGTCCACTGGAGGTGTAGTAGAAGAAATTCAGATTTGACTGCATACTAGAACAATGATCAAAATGAACCACGTAGGAATTTTCTCAGGTTGGAAATCAGCATAAGAAAAGGTGATTAATCATTTGTAGTTCTTTGTCTTTAATTGAACTCAAGTTGCCAGTTTACCATGGCACGAAAGCATTCACCAGCCTCCCACTTCTCCTCTTTTCTTGGACTGGACAATGGCCATATCTAAGCCAAATTGATTTTAGTGCATTATAATTAAGAGTATGCATAGATGTTTCCTTGAATAGGACTGTATTTAAGATGCTTAAGCACTATACTGAAACTGAGTCTAAATTGACATCATGTTTGTACAGGGGAAATAGTAATCTTATCACTGAAATTATTAGTGACTGGAATAACCAAGCTGTGTGCTACCTCCTGGACTTGAAAACTGCAAAGTATGAAAGTTCATTCTGTACTCTGTTTTTTATAAATTATATGGAAAACTTTCATCCATTCATTATCCTTAAAAGAGAATACATTTACCTGTAGAATCTGATGCATTGTAGAAAGTATAATTTGATGTATCACCACGCTTAAATTTGACTGGTATATTCCATTTGTAACTGAAATTATTTAATGGGAAAAAAAGTCAAATTACATTTGAAGCCAAATAGTAAAAAACCCCCTCCAATATGTCTTTGTTTCTTTGTTTATTTTAATGCTTACATCTTTTTTATTGAAGCTGACTTGTGCTTATGAACATATACATACTAAATAATGTCAGGCAATTTTCTAGCAGGATACAAAGCGATTGGTTTAGTAAAAGATGATTTTATATTAATAACTGGTGTCAAGGTTGATGTTGATGTGTCTAGGGCTTTGCGCAGACACTAGTTAATCTTTGCAATGCTGACTTGAAATCAATGGTTAAGTATTACAGAAGTTTTTTTGCAGATGGAAAAAAGGAAAGAGTTTAAGCATCTACTGTGATACAGTTAACAGGGCTTCTTGCCTTTTCCAGCCTGTTTTTATTCTCCAAGACAATCTTAATTCCTTCATTAAAAAGCACTGGGAGGCAAATCCAACCTTACCTCTTGCTCCTCAGCTCCTTGTATATCTTTAATGGGTAGGTGCAGTTTCCTCACTCCAGGGCATGCCCAGGACAAAGATGAGAAATTTGGGCAGGAATGGAGCCACAGCACAGCCTGACCAAGACTGTGACCAGGCAATCAGGGATGTGGGACAGCAGAGCATGCTGCAAGTGTAACATCAGCCACATAGGGCTGCTAAAATGATCAAGCCCTTTTGAGCAGTCAGCTGCTCTTCCATATTAGTATATTATACTTTATCCCAGGGAGATTTCTCCTTGGTGACAAATGCTATGGAAAGTATATGTCATCTTTATAACCCTACGTTAAGTAAATGGTCACTAATTTCCAGAAAATAAAAAAAATTAAGGTTATGGTATCTCCTCCTACCTCAAGGAAGAAAGATTTAATATTTTTTATCTCCTAAACAAAATATCTTAACAGATTTATACACTTCTGGTTTTACTTGTTCTTTTATGGAGCTTACTATGATGGAATTTAGACAGGTATTGTGTTTCCCAAGAGAAAACCCATTTAGGTTTTTGGGGTTTTGTTTGTTTATTTGTGCGTGGTTTTTTGTTGTTGTTGTCATTGGGGTTTTTTTTGTTTGTTTTTTTGTTTGTTTGTTTTTTTGTTCATTTGGGTTTTTTTTGTTTTGGTTTTTTAAACTTATTTTTGTAAATGCATTTAATGGGGTATATTTTACTTAGTTTCTACCTGGTATGAATCAACATGTGCAGTAGGAACTTACCCAAGATCAGAAGGAGGATGAGAAGCATTTGCACTGGGATCCAAAAGAAAACGTTTCTGTGTGAATATTGAATTATCTCCCATCTCCAAAACAGGGTATCCCATCTGCCTAGTCCAGGTGTCCATGACTTCCTTCACAGGTTTATTACTTGCCTGTGAATGATGGAAGAAGGTTGTAGTGAAAATGGAAATTCAGTCCTAAGAGGAAAGAAAGTATCTCTGGTATTAAGAAAAAGAAAAGCAGAAAGGGGCAGAGGAAAGAGCATGTTCAGGACAAAAAAATCCTCCATTAAATCCTTTTATGGTGCCTATCACTGAAGAAAGAAATTATTTGGAAACTTGAACACCCACAGAAGAAATGAGAAATGTGTAGGCAGGAGACTGGCCAGAAGCATGGATAAGAAATACTGAGGAACATTTGAGGCCCCTTGCATTCTCAAAGATCTCTCAATTTTTTTCTGACAGAAAAACTGAACAAGACAGAAAGGACACAGTGGGATTTTTAAAGGCAGAAGCCTCCTTGCAGTGCGTCCTGTTTTGAGTGTGAAGAAAGAGCCAGTATTAACCACAAGCAGCTGCATCAATGTAAAATTTGATTCATTCTGTGAACCCTGAACATCTGTCCTGGGAACTGGAGCTGAAGAAAGCTGTCACTACCTCCCAAGGATGCCACCTGTGAGAGAAGTGAGCTAGACTCACTTCTAGTGACTTTCTCCAGATGAGGAAGATGATGTGAAGATGCAAAGCACTAGAGAGGGAAAGCAGGAAGTTCTGCTGAGTAGGAAGAAGTCTGGGACCAAGGAGAAGACTGGAACTAAAAAGCAAAAGCACAATTTAGTCTTGTGCATGTCCACAGGGTTGGAAGAAAAGGAAAAAGTACCAGGGAAGAACCTGGCAGTATGCCAGCGTAATGGGGGCTAATGAGATAGATGGAAAAAATAGTCCAGTCTCAAGGAACAGGAAAGATCAGAAAATGGTGGCACAGATGATGACCCAACTGGGACTCAGAAGCTAGAGAGGGATATAAGCCCCAAAATTACTTGTGAATTGATGTCACTGATAGCTTTCCAACACCTGAATCTGGAGAGAGAAAAGAGACCATATGGGGTGCATGATGGTGGATGAGAGGTGTTTCACACATGAAATGAGTTTAATTTGCAGGGGGAATATTTCAGCAGCAGGGTGTTTGTTAGCAAGGCCTCCTTTCTTGGTTCTTACTCCACTCCCACAGCCTTATGTGAAAGAAGGAAAGGAAAGGAAGGAAGGAAGGAAAGGAAGGAAGGAAAGGAAGGAAAGGAAGGAA